ACAGAACCAGACAATCGATTTGAGCACATTCATATCGATTTAATCAAACTACCCTTAATGCAAGGTATGCAATACTGTCTCACAATTATAGACAGGTTTACTCGCTGGCCCATGGCAATTCCACTGCCGAACATCAAAGGTGATACAGTCGCTAAAGCCTTCACAAATTATTGGATCAGCTTATTTGGCACACCTCTCCAGATCACTTCTGACAGAGGAGCTCAGTTCGAGTCTGAACTTTTTACTGAACTCGCCAGAGCCATCGGTGCCAAGGTAGTTCATACCGTTGCATACCACCCGCAGTCGAACGGGATGGTGGAACGCTTCACCGTACTGTAAAAACAGCCCTCAGATGCTGTCCGTACTCTTGGATTGACTGCCTGCCTACTGTTTTGTTGGGACTCAGGACAGCTTTCAAGCACGACCTGGAAGCATCACCTTCAGAGATGCTCTTTGGAACGACACTCAGAATTCCAGGCGAATTCTTTGTCACTGACTCCATCCAGGCCGACAAAACAGCTTTCGTCCAAAGTCTTCGCCAGCTCTTCCAAGCAATTCGTCCAGTTCCTGCATCCAGGCATAGCTCAGCCCACCCATTTGTCTTCAAAGACTTGCAATCCTGCACTCACGTTTTCAAGAGAGTTGACAGCATTAGGAAGCCGCTAGAAGCCGCATACACTGGCCCACATCGCGTCATTAGACGCACAGAACAGCGGACGTTTGTCATCGACGTCAATGGCCAAGAGAAGGTCGTCTCTATAGACCAGCTGAAGCCAGCGTACCTGGAAGTAGCAGAGCCTATTCCCGAAGAAAATCCAGCTCAGCGTTTACCTCCAGGCCCAGCTCAGTCTCAGCAGGCCAACCAACATCAACGACAGACACCTCCACCGGCGTTTCCAGAAGATGACCTATCAACTTCATCTCCAGTCGCTCAGCCTAAGAAGCCCGAGCGTCATGTCACGTTCCCAGCACTACCCGCGCCAGTCACTGGAGGGGGAGTAGCTGTAGCGCCACAACCTGGCGCACAATCTTCGCGCCGAGCACGCAAGCAGAAGCTGGAGCAGAGACAAGAGTTTGACTAGCCGAGTCAAGCTCCTTGTTGCCCGCGCGAGCCAGCAGACAGCAAGCAGAGCCGCGCCTGATCAACGGGGTTTAGCTGCTGTCTCTCTCGCTCGCATATCACCTGCGGACAACTAGAGCTGAGGCGACGGAAGCTAGCCCGCCGTCTCCTTCATTAATTCAGCGTCCTGCCTTCCAGCTGCTCGAAGCCGCGCGCACAGTGCTCTATACTAAGGTACGTGTGGGAAAAGACATTCTTTTATAATCTGAGTTTTTCTTATCTATCAAGTTTTCTGTAATTGATTTATTTGCTTATTACTTTTAATAATTAGTGAACAAGTTTAAGCGAGTGTGTATTTTTCACCTGACACTGATTCCTCTCCCGAAGGTATCCATAAGTGGTGACCCGGACTTTGAAAATTTTCCTGACGTGAGTTGTTTATAATAATACTTTTCGGTCGCGGAGAATCAGTGCACGCGGTTCACTACATTAAAATGTAAAAACTCATCGGCTTTCGTAAAGCACATAAACTTTTACTCTTTTCGCGAGTTTCTTTTTTAAACTCGTGAGTGCAAGTGCCACGTGGACGCTCTCAAGACGGAGACACGCAGCCAGGCACGCCTTCGAGGCCGTGGCCGCCCCCCCCCCGCTCGAGCTCGACGATTATCAAGACCCAGACCACCCTCCCGGTAACCGCGCCCGCAGCTGGTCTCCTAGACGCGGCA